GCAATTCATAAGACGATTTATTGCAAAATTAACCTTGACTTGTGAACCACTATTTGGTCTCCTGAAGAAAGGAAAGAAATTCCAGTGGGATGACCAATGCCAGTTTGCTGTTGAGCAGATCAAGCAGTATTTACAGAACCCACCCGTGTTGTCACCGCCAGAGCTAGGGAAGCCATTCATTTTGTATCTGTCAGTAACCGACACGACTATTGGCTGCATGCTTGCGCAGGAATTTGAGGATAGAGTGGAGAAAGCCATCTATTACCTGAGCAAGAAGATACTAGAATATGAGACCCGTTACACCCCGCTGGAGAAGGCTTGTTTATCCTTGGTATGGGCTACCAGGAAGTTGTGGCACTACCTATTAGCTCACTCCGTAATTCTGGTTTCGGGATTAGATCCCATCAAATATCTCTTCGAGAAACCAGCGCTTACGGGTAGGCTAGCCCGTTGGTTGCTTCTTCTCTCCAAATTTGATTTGAAGTATGTCACGCACAAGTCAATTAAGGAGAGAGTGGTAGCGGAGTTCTTAGCCGATTACCCAGTTGAAGGGGACGAAGCAGTAGAGTATTTGTTCCCAGATGAGGCCATTCTGCAGGTTGAAGAAGAGATCTGGACCATGTACTTTGACAGAGCGTCTAACCAGTATGGTTATGGGATAGGGTGTTGCTGATAGCACCCGACAATTCCCATATACCTTTAGCCTTTAAACTCCAGTTCAAGGTATCGAACAATGAAGCAAAATACGAGGCATGTATCGGTGGCTTGGAAGCTGCCCAGGAACTAGGGGCAAAACGGTTGGACGTCATTGGGGACTCGAACCTAGTTGTGTCTCAAGCAAAAGGAGATTGGAAGGTTAAGGAAGAAATGATGAAAATCTATCACCAAACCCTGGACGTTCTGAATCCTAGGTTTGGTAAGCTAACCTTCACGCATATGTTAAGAGAGAACAACAAGCTCGCTGACGCTTTATCAACTCTATCTTCCATGATAGACATCCCTTTGGGAAACTAGATGAGTTCAATCATTATTGAACAGAGGTATGTGCCAGCCTACGAGTTGATCGCCGCAATCGATGAAGTACAAGATCGGAATCCCTGGTATCATGACATCTGGAACTTCTTGGAAAAGGAGGCTTATCTGCTAGAGGCAAATGCCAAAGATAAATGGGTAATACAGTGAATGGCCGCTCAGTTTATCATCTACGACGGTAAATTGTGTAAACGAGGCCATTTGGGAATGCACAAGTTGTGTGCTGATGCAAAAGAGATGAAGCGCCTAATGGAGGCCATCCACGGAGGAGAGTGTGGATCCCACATGAGCGGAGTAATTCTAGCTCGGAAGATTCTCAGGCATGGTTATTACTAGTCAACCATGGAGGAGGATTGTATCAGTTTTGTTCAGCGATGCCACAAATACCAAATTCATGCAAATCGCATGAACATCCAGCTGTCGAAATTGTACAACATGACTTCACTGTGGTCGTTTCCAGTCTGGGGAATTGATGTTATTGGGGCAGTTACGCCGAAAGGGTCAAATGGGCATGAGTATATCCTGGTGGCAATAGACTATTTTACAAAAGGGGTCGAGACCCAATCCTATGCGGTGCTGAAAACATCGCATGTATCCAAGTTCATCAGGAATAATATCATTTGTTGTTATGGGGTCCCGAATGAGATCATTTCAAACAATGGTTCCCATTTTAAAAAAGAAGTGATCGACTTGTTGGAAAAATACAATGTGGCTTTTCATAAGTCGTCAACATATCGGCTACAAACCAATAGAGCTGTTGAGCCCGCCAACAAGAACATCAAGCACATTCTAGAGAAGATGATGGAAACCTATAGGGGCTTGCCAGACAAACTGCCATTTGCTCTCTAGGGCTGCAGGACTTCGATTCAGACACCTACTGGGGCAACTTCGTATTCTCTAGTTTATGGGATGGAAGCTGTTCTGCCAATTGAAGTTGACATTCCGTCGCTACGAGTTATGGTTGAGTGCCAGATAGTAGAAGCGGATTGGCTGCAGAGCAAGTTCAAGGAACTAATGTTGCTTGACGAGAGAAGGCTGAAAATACCGTACCATGTCCAAGGTTATCAACACAGAATTGCCAGGGCTTTCAACAAGAAAGTTAAGTCTAGGAATCTGAAAGAAGGGGATTTAGTGCTCAAAGGCAACCGAGCTCCCATCGATGACTCCAGGGGTAAGTTCAGACCTAATTGGACTGGTCCTTACATCATCAAATCAATTTGGCTGGGTGGAGCTGTCATTCTTATGGATCTAAATGGCCTCGAATTCTCTCAACCAATCAACGTGGACAAGTTGAAGAAATACTATCCTTGAGAGGCTCACCAGGCCGAAAACCCAAAAGGGGCAACCTAGGAAAAAGTTAGAGCACCAAAAATTAGAAGGATAGAAAAACTAAGCTCATAAGGTTGAAAACCCGAAAAGGGCGGCCTTAGCAAAAGTTAGAGCACAAAAGGAGAGTGTTACTACCCGAGTGAACCTGAACTGAATTATGTAAGGCTTGATTCCTGTCTATGGGATATGCAGGAAACTTCATTTTGAAGTCCAACCATAAACACTTCATACTCAACTGTCCTGTCCATCAGATTGTTCTGCTCATCTTTGTCTTCTCTGTATCCAAGAGTTCGGTTGTGATCTTCACTATGAGAGCGGGTTATAGTACAGTGCAGTGATATTTAGACAAGGGGCACCTTTTTATTTGCGGGATTCGGGGTTGTACATCTCGAGGATTGACTTCGGGTGTGTCTAGTTGTGATCCTTATCGAAAATGATTTTGAAAAGTTTTAACAAAATTTAATTTTGTTCAAATTAATCTTTTTACAACTTAGACCATTTTTGAACCAAAAGGAAAATTTTCAGTGCCCCCAACTTTAATTTCATTGATTTCAAAAGGAGAGTGTTAATCTTTCATTGCTTTTATTACATTCAAAAGAAAAACTTGAAAGTACAAATCAAGCAATAAACTTGGGGCACAAATGAGTCAGGTGTTCCTGCGTCCACTCCAAGAGCTTGTGGAAGCTTCAGATGCTAAAGTAGGTCCGGTTTGCGCCTCATCTTCAACCCAAGCTATGCATTTTCCGTAAAGGCGCAACTAAAATTGGAAGCGAGAGCCAGAAGTTTTCTTGTCCTCCAGGCAGTGGGATATCGAGCTAGTTGTGAACCTCAGATTGGAAATGAAGTCGGGCACTCTACCCCCTCTTCTGGGCAAGTTTGGTCGTGTCCAAACTAACGCTGAAATTAGAATGAAAAGTAGAACACACAGTGTGTCAAGCCAATCAGCTGAATATCGGGTTGTCGAGACATGCTGTAGCTCATATCGGGCAGATCAAACCAGGGGCAACGACAAGCAATGTCAACAGCAGACCCGTTGCACATCCAATGGCACCACCACCTTTCGCTCGGGAAATCAACCAGCCATGGGCGAAAGAAATAGCTTCGCGCTGAATATGTTGGGCAAGAGTCCACTACCTTCAACCTATCCATGAGCCATATCTGGGGAGGGATGAAAAACAAGAGAGATTAAAGAATAGAGAGGTGTATGTGGAGAGAAAAAGTGAGAAAGGGTTTTGAGAGAAAAACAGAGCATGAGTGCCGAGTGATGTGAGAAACACATGTGAGATAGGGTGGGAAACAGTAACTGCAAGAGTAGTGGACACCCTGCCAATTTGGTTGTCTCTCGTCGATGGAAGGCGTCCAAGCCCATCAAAGTCTCGGTTAATGTCAAGCCAATGTAGATTTTCCCTTTTCAAGCCTTGGGCCACTTCGATCAGTCGAACTCTAGACCCTCCGAAACCAAGGGCAAGCAGGAAATGAGCCAACATACACAAGCAAAGGGCATGCTGCTGAAAATTCTGCCAGAGACAGTCGCCGCGGTCGCCAGCATCAAAAAATCGATGAATAAGTTTGGGAATATCCAACTCTCCATTGCGAACCAAAGATCGGGCATCATGTGAAGTGAGCCCACACATCCTTCCTAAAAGCTTGGTTGTGGCCAAAACAGGACTGAGGCAAGATGTCCTCGTCACACCGAGATTCCATCAGAACTTGGAATTCTTCAACTGTCAGACATATCTTTTGTCCCCCAAAGCTGAAAACATGTGTAATTGGGTTCCAACACCTAGCCGCGGCATAAAGGAATGGAAAACACAACAAGGTATGACATAGCGGGAATAGCGCATTTATCCCGAAACCCCAGAAATTCACTTTTTTTGAGCCATCTAAAGTTGTAATCCAATTTGAGAATGTTTCGGTGAAGAATGGCTCCATTTGTAGAAAAAATAGGGCTGGAATGAAGAAACTACGAAGTCCTAACTTTTGTAGAAGATAAGGTGTTGAGTGGAAGACATATGGCAGCAATCTGGAGGTTCCTTGCACTGGTGGCCGACCGGCCACCTTTTGTAGCCGACTGGGCACTACTGGTGGCTGACAACCTTTGTTTATGGCCGATGGCCTCCTGGTTGGTCCTTTGGTCTTTCTGAGTGTTGAGAGTGCTAAAACCTATGTCTTGTTCTGCTCTTGATGCATTCTGCTATCTTGGTTGTAGTAGTTTTTGTTGAGTTGTATTTGTTTTGTTTTTGTTTTTCGAGTTGTTGTATTACTTACCCAGTTGTACTTGTTTTGTTTTTGTTTATCGAGTTGTTATTATTTAGTTGTTCGTTGAGTTGTTTTACTTTATTTTGTTGTGTTGGTCAGTTCGTTACCTGATTTAGGAAATGCCAATACAATGTGTTGTGTTCAAGTTTCCATCAATCGTGTTTTTATGCAATGTGGTGCAATATGGTGCTCAGAATACAAAACACAACACTTTTCATCAAACAGTTATTTTCATTCCGATCATGGTTTCTTTTCACAATAGAGTACAAGTTTTTAAGAAAATAAAGCTGCCTAAAACTGTACAATGTGCTAACACTACTAGCAAAAAGAGAAAAGCGAAAAAAAACTAAGCGAGAATATATGAATCGGTGCCATCCACCTCAGGATCGAGAGGCCCTCTTCGTCCTCTTCATGGGCATGGACTCAGAGCAATCTCCATCAGTGCCACTGTCAGAGGCCTCTATATCTGAGCTAGCAGCTGAACCTGCCTCAGCATTGTCTCCGTCCTCAGAATCTAAGTCAGCGTCGTCGTCTCTATCCTCAGATGACTCTGACTGGGGATTCGCTGCCTCCTCGTCCTCGCCTATCTCATCATCATCATCGTCCAGGGCAGGCTCTGAAGGGCCACTCTTGTCATGGGTGCCCTTGCTCTCCCTCGGCTGCGTGCCGGAGCCTCTCGTCTCCCTCTCCATACTGTCGGAGGAGGCACTGATGGTCCTACTACAGCTCCTCCTGGAGTGTCCGGTGGGGCTAGGATCTGAAAAGGGCAGTTTGTCAAAATACATCAGTCGCAGTGTATATTAGATACAAAGATGATATGCAGTGTACAGGTGCAGTGTATGGGTGCAGTGTGTGGGAGCAATGTTTCAGTGTAGTATTTGAATGCAGTGTATCAGATCAGTGCAATGTGGAAAAGAGTACAGTCAAAATGCTAATGTATTAGCAAAAAAATTCATGACATGAAATGCGAACTGAAGGAAATTACCAGATTCCTGTAGAGGCTGAGCAGGTTCATGCTCCTCTGCACCATCTCTGTCAGGGAAGCCACTAGTTCGAGGGCCTGCCCGGTGCACTCTATAGGTGCCTGCAAGTGCGTTAAGAGGATCAGTGTTCTATAAAGCATAACTGAAATGAATTGAACATGCAAGGTGTAAAGTGTGGTACATACTGGAGTCGGGCCTCGAACCCCGACAAGCTCATGCCCAGCTAGTGCAGGCTCAGTGGAGATTTGGCAAGCCTTCCCGGTATGCCGCCAATAGGTGAGTGTGGTATGTAACTTTGGCCACCCCATCCTCTGTCCTGACTAAACGTCTCTCTCATGCCACGGGTCCTGGTCGCCCTGGCCCCTCTGCATCTCTCTCTCGTAGCTAGGGCCCTCGCTCTCTCACCTCCACTGGCGCCAGTCAGAGGTGGCATAAGGTATGTCTGGATGAAGGCTATGTAATCACCCTCGACTTGGAAGAAATCGGTGTCACACCCCAAACCCGGGTATGACCGGCCGTGGCCCACAGGGACTAAGCCCAAGGCACACGTAAGCCTTAGCATGAAACCAAAAAAAAAAAAAAGAAATCACGAAGAATAAATGTAATGACAACCCAAAAATAAATAAATCAAAACTCAATCCAGTGACAAGTCCCAATTATAAATGGTAAAACCAACCATAACCAACTTCCAAAAATATATACTAAATTGAACACAAACAGCCCACAAAATAAAATAATTCTAAATAAAAAAATCCAACCAGAAAGTATGCACAAAATCCGACATAACAAGCTAAAACAAAATAAATGAATGTCCTAAAGGTCCATGCAATTGAGTCCCCTGCTACGCCATAAGTCCAGTCTAAGTCCTTCTAACACCTGGAAGTGATAAACAACTAAGTCAGCTAATAGCTCAGTAAGTAGCAACATGGATAGTATATACAGTTTTGAAAACAGGGATCAATTCCAAAATAAGAATATATCACAGAAACTAGATTGGCATATAGTTTGGTAAAGAAAATCTGTTTCAAAAAGAAGGTTCCACAGTTCAATAGTTAAAATACTCATGTCTCTCAAGAATATGATAAATGACATTTTCCACTTAAAACAGATTAGAACATGAACACCAATAATTTTCTGGGTACCAAAAATAACAAGTAACATGCCACACAGTTCTCAAGGCTATAAGCCTCGTTGGATTCAATACCGAACTAAGAGTCATCCTCAGGGTGGCAACCTGGGCCTTTTCTCAAAGACGATCCGATTGAAAGTCACCTAGCTTAACCTAGATCTTTTCCTTGCAATCGTTGAGCACTAGAGTCAACACGGCCCAACCCGGATCTGTTCCCTAGTGGACAGAGTCACCACACACAGTGGAATAACTTCCCTAGACTAAATACACAGATGGTGCCAATAATCAATACCCATTAGTTTTGCAAAACATCGTAGTTTATCATTATAAACACGAGCCCAAAACAAATAGTTTACAGTATGCTAAGTTCACACATGTTTCAGAAATAATTTGATTCCATTGATAATATAATAATTTATCAAAACAGTTTCGTCATGAAACAACAATTTAATTTTTCAACAGTTCAGGGTAGGAAAACATTTATAAAAATATGTAGCATGAAACTACTCACCTGAAAACGAAACAATATAATTCTCGAATAGAGTGTGAAAGTCCAACTAGTGCCCTGAACCAAGTATGAAAACTACACGTCACTACTAATTTAAAAATGCTAAAGAATAAGAACTAAGTAACCCCAAACTAAAGCGCACTAACATGACTCAACCCAACTCACTGTTACTCTTAAATATTACCTAAGTTCATGCTCTTCAAGGTCTAAAATCACCCATGACATGGGTTCAAATCAAAACTTAATTAAAAGTAACTTTAAGATAAAACAGAATTTTAAACTACTTTTCCCAATCTATTCGCTAACTTTGAAAATTAAAAACCCACTCCACGTTGTTCAAAAAATTCTAAAACCCTCCAGATATCAACTAATATATCCTAAGTTTCAAACCTAATTGGTTTTACTTGATTTACTTATCAAAATAATTATTTACAACTAATTATATCCAAACAGGTTGTTTTCTGCAGCACTTTAAAGAAATTGACGGTTCTCTTAGTATACACGAGCAATCAATGCAAGGCCAAAAATGCAATAAACTAGACTCGTAACCGGTTCTAATGACGCTGATTTGATAATTTTTGGATTTATACCCAAAGAGAACAACACTCCCGAACTTACTGTTTAAAACCAGTTTTCTGGACAGATTCGAATGCATCAGTTTATATGGATTTTGACTCCAAACTATTATGAGAAAATTAGATATGCAATTTAATATATAGTTAATCCACTGTAAAAATTTCAATTCAAAATTCATTCGTTTGATATGATTTCTTGATTTTTAAAGTTTGTGATTCTTATAGATTCTTTCTGAACTAAGAATTTCACCATTATTTCTCATCACCAACCTCTGATTTGGCACCCAAACAACACACCCGTTCCTCCTATTCCTTCTCAGCAACAAGCAGATTGCACACATGAACCATCAACACAATATATAAATATAATAAAATATGTCAATACCTTAGAGTTGTTGAGCCACAAAGGTGCTGGAATTTCCTCTCTCTCCCTCTTTTCTATCTCTTGCTCTCTCTTTCTCCCTCACTCTCACGTTGCCAGGCTGCTGCTGCTATATTGTTGGAAGAGCTAGGGTTTTTCTTTTCATTTCTTTTCTTTGGTATTCATAACATAAATGACTCTAGATAAATATCATTTGTTTTATTTTATTTTATCTCTCCATTAATTTAAATAAAATGTAACTACTATTAGATCAGAATATGCTTACTAATTTGAAACTTAATTTTATTTTATTTATTTTATTTTTTTAAAATAATAAATCTTACCTTTAAATTGAAGACTTTCATCGTAAATTTATTTTAGGTTTTAAAATTAATTAAAAGACCCTCCAAATATTTAATTTGCACTATAAAATTCACCATCAAAATATTGGAGATTGTAATAATATTATTATTTAATTATTTACTTGATTTGTATATTTGGGTTCTCACAGTCGGCGTCCCAGCCTCTGGTGAAATCAATCATTTCCTGAAAAGTGAATTTCTCTGTGGCTTTCATATATGTCGGAGGTGGCACGGGAACAACCGGCTCGGGCAAGCCGTTGGTCTGGCGCAAGAACATCTCCCCTAAGAACCATGCCTAACAAACTGGGCCCTTGAGCAGCAGCCGGAAGCGGGAAGCCTCTCGAGCACTAGCGAACTGATCTCTGACTCCCTGAGGCATCATCACCCAAGGCTACCCAGTGATCTGTAAATAAAGAATGTGCAGATTGTTAGCTGTCATCATATATTTCGATATTAATCAAAATCAAACAAAAATAGAAATAACAGTGAATCTTGAGTTATCTCGACCGCAGTCACAATGTCAAAGTATCGATGGAAGAAGGGGAAGGACTCCCGGAATCTCCGTTGGCATCTCCCGTCATACCGGTGCGAGTATGGTACGAGAGGAGAAATCTCCACCTCCAGCTCCGGGGCAAGTGTCAGGAAATAGGCGTACACCCATAGCTGCGGAAAGCAAAAAGGGGACAATGAGTACACAATAGATAAATACAAATAAAGCAGACGGTGTGCGCGTAGGATGTGAGTGTGCATACTACATGGAAAGGAAAGCAGAAGGCAAATTGTGTGTGTGCAAGATACAGAGCGTGTAAAGTAGAAAGCAGATTGTGTGTGTACAGTATACAATGTGTGCAGTGTACAGAAAGTGCCAAGTAGAAAGCACGGTAAGAAATGAAAAACAGAAAAGTAAAACATACCTCCCAGGCCCTCCAGTATCCCCCAATCAGATGTCCACTCTGGCGGGAGGTGGAGCTCATATATCCGTATAGTGTGGCCAAGCCTGCGCCGGCCCAATCATAGAATCGAACACAGGACAAGTCCACCAAGGCGCTCATGAGGTATAGCCCGACAGTGTTCGCCCGATTGACGAACATGGTAGTGCCAAACATGAACATCAGGAAACCTCGAGTGTACTGCTCGGTCTCCTCCCGGGTCTCTAGTGTTGTCCCTCTGCAGTGATCCGCAAACCATGTCTATTGGACCATCCCTGATCAAGAGATTGGTGGGCGAGTCCCGAACAGATAAATCTGGGCGGCCTCCCACTCGCCCATGTCTGTGTCGTAAGGAATCGGATGACCCTCTACCTCTATGCAGTGAGCATAGAGAAGTCAAAGAGGGTCATCGTCATCTCCCTTGCGGTAGAGAAGTGAAAGGAGTCGGTGGTATCCCACCACCTCTCCACCAGGGCACCCAGTAAAGGTCTGCTCGTTATGAGGCATGAGTGTCCCATGTAGAATGAGCCGAAGCCAGCCTCATTAATAATTTAGTGAACACCGTCGGGGAGATCCATGTTATAATAGTTGGATTTAATTCCTGTTAAGTCCTATTGACAGTTACTCATAGTAAAATTTTCATTAAAAATAATTTTTATGTTATTTTTTTGTATATATTGCTAAAAATTGATAATTAGTTGTGGAGAAGTGGTTTGGAAATACTGTTCAGATCCTGGGGGACGCTCGTAATCCTCAACTAGCCACCTAAAAAGGAATTAACACTCCGGTCGGGGGTGCCGGAATTAGCACTCCAACAGGCAAGTCAGTCTCTACTCTTTGAATTACTAGTATTTTAAGTTAAGTGTAATGGTTCTCACGTACCTCTTTCGAGCTGATGTTCTTCTGTTTATATCTTTTCTTTCCTAGGCCGCGGGATTAGGTCCACTTTCAATTCGCTATTTGGCATCTTTTGTAGCAAACCGCTTTTCACTCGGCCCTTTGCTTAATCGGCTATTTGACAGAGTAGGATTGGATTCGAGCGTGCGAGATGACGCCGAGTGCTATATATTTCAACTCTCTGAGTTCGACTATCCGAAATCTCTACGACTCCCAATACTCGGTCCCCACAATTGCCCCTTCAGCACTCTACTAACGATAGTTGGCTGGAGTGTTTGGCTTCAAACTCGAAAGGTCAGAGCTGAAATTCGGCGGCTGACCTCATTCCAACGCAAATGTCTGAACACACGCTTCTCGGTTATCATTTCAACTTCCCGCCCCTTTGTACACTTCTATTTATTGTGATTTAAAATTTCGACATCTTTTCAAATACATACACACTTTTGGACGCTCGTCGCTGGACTGCCTTCCGAATTACCTCTGCAACTTCCTTTTCTTCACTATCCTCTTCGCCTCTTGTAAGTTCTCTCCCTCTCTACATTGAATCTTTTTTCTTGCTTTGTTTTTGGCTTAGCATATTCCTATAGGCTCGGAAAATGGAAAAACATTTAAAAGATCTCCTCTCTTTGGATCGAATTTCTGGCTTCCGACGTCATTTCTCCATTCCTGATGACGTCCGTCTGTCACTTGTGACAGACGGCACCCTCGATATGGAGAGGGCTGATGAAATAACGATCGTCTTCCCTCTCCTATCAATCACAGAGGGTGGAGTCCGTTTCCCCCTTCACCCATTCCTTAGGGCTGTGCTTTGCCATTGGGGCTTAATCCCTTCCCAACCCAATGTTAACTTCTTTAGAATTGTAATGGGGATTATCGCACTAAAGCGCCGCCTTAGGCTTAACCTTGGCATTCCCACTATTCGGCATTGCTACGCCTTGGCCAAGTCTTCTGGTCGGCACAGGCATTATTTCCTTAGGGCCAGGGACACCGACCATCAACTAGTGACTATGCTTTCCAGTTTTGGGAAGCGAGTCGATGATGTTATGGTCGTCGTCCAAGGTAATTGGGAATTCGGCGAAGGCAAGGATCACCTCGATCCTATTCCTAGACGGAGGGGTGAACCAGGTGGCCGTATAGCTTCTTTTATTTATTTTTGTTATATTTATAAAGCTTCATTTTCGAGACCTCATGGTTTTGCTTGTGCAGGAAACGATTTGAAGAAAGTCCTAACCTTAACTGACGACGCTATTCATTCAGAAATCAAGGTTGCGCTCAAATATTTCGGCCGGCCGAGTCTTCAGAAACAGGGGAGGGTGACCCACATTCTACTCCGCTACGAGCCGACTTATACGACCTTTTCGGCGGCAAAAAACATCCTAATTTCGAAAGGTGAGGAGTTTCTTACCGCTGTTATCTTGACTGATTTCAAAAATTTGAGGCAAGTCGGTTTCGAGGGGTCAGATTCGGAGCGACCGGAAGTAGCTGAGGTCACCGAGTCAGATCAGTCCGAAGCCGAAGTCGACGAGGCTTTGAAGTTAGCATTTGAAGAAGCCGGCCTCAATTCAGCCGACCCTACGTCCACTTCGGGCCGAGAGGACCTTCCACTTGACGACATTTTTCACGGTCTAGAGGGCCTTCTCGGCGCGTACCCCGAAGATATGGTTGATTTAAGCCTCACTCAGCTTGCCAAGAAGGTGAACGCGGAAAGGATGGCCGCGCGGCAAAGAACAGAGGCCATTCGAGCTGCTGAATCTCAGCCCTCCCTGCCTGTTGGCAAATCTCAGCCCTCCTTGCCTGTTATTGAGGAGGGAACGGCAAAAAACGAAAGTGCCCAGGCCGACTTGGTTATGCAGGCCGGTCAATAGGCTGAGCATAGGGCATAGAAGCGCCCTGCCGAGGTTGAGGCTAGCTTAGAAGAAGGCCACGCCGACAAATGACCTCGTTTAGAGGAATCGAATGTGATTGTACCTTTTGTTATTCAACCGAAGATAAAAAAACACGCCGATCCCCTCCGATGCTTCGGTAATTAAAGATCCAGCGGTCGCACTCCGCATGGCTACGTCCGTTTCACTACCGGCTGACAAGGCGGCTTTTCGGGTGGAGCCAGATCTAGTTGCAATAGCGTTGGCCGCGTAATCGGCTCTTTTGGTATATATCTTGACTTTGTCTTTTCACTTTACGCAAATACTATTTTGGTCTTAATTTCCTATTTTGCAGACCGTCGGAAGGATAGCCGAGATGGGCCGTCACCATCATGCCGCCGTCGAACAGCTTGGCCGTTTACAAACGGAAGTTGAGGGCGAAAGGAGCAGGGCCAAGTTCGAGTCTTTAAGGGTGAAGATAGAAGGCGCGTTGGCAGACGCCGAGATGGAGAGAGCCCATAGCGCTGATCAACTGAGATTGGCTATTGAGATGAGGGCGGATGCGAGCGATGACGCGCTTAAATTGGCCCAGGAGGCGATCTCCAAACTGGAGGCTGAGTTGGAAGAAATAAAGAAGGCGAAAGAAGTTGCCAACCTGGAAGCTTCCAAGGCATTCGAGGCCGGGAAAAGTACTGTTTTCGCCGAATACGTAGATGAAGTCCCCAAATTTGAAAATCAGGGATTCAAACACGGTTGGCTCAAAGCCCTTGCTGCTACTGATGTGACATTAGCTATGCCGATTCCAAACGAGCAAGTGGATGTTGAGCCCCTGGAGTCTGACTCCGAGGACTAATTTGGGCGACAGTTGTTTTTGTTTTAGGATTTCGAATGTATTTTCACAGCTTTTCAGTTAGTAATTTTCATGTATTGCTACAATCATAGTTTTTTTTTACTAGGCATTTTCATATGAACTTGTAGCTTTTTGTTTAGTAATTTTTGTATGTAAAATGGCTACAATTGATGCCCAATTTACTAATAAAAATTTCCTTTTTGCCTGGCTGCTATTTGTGCTAAATTTTGTTATTGATGAATGGTATTGCTTTCAATTGTGAAATGGCTGCATTTTTCTTTCAATGCCAAGTATCATAATTCGATCGGCATTGGATTTAGATGCTTGGCCGATCAGATTAATAAATCTGCCCTTGCCCCAGCCAGTGCATGAGCTTCAGAAGCCGAATATGACTAGTTCGTAGAGTGGCTAAGGCATAAAACGATCAGCATTAGGTTTAGATACTTGGCCGATCAGATTAATAAATCTACCCTTGCCCCAGCCAGTGCAAGAGCTTCAGAAGCCGAATTGGACTAGTTTGTGGAGTGGCTGAGGCATAAAACGATCGGCATTGGGTTTAGATACTTGGCCGATCAGATTAATAAATCTGTCCTTGCCCCAGCTAGTGCATGAGCTTCAGAAGCCAAATATGACTAGTTCGTGGAGTGGCTGAGGCATAAAACGATCGGCATTGGGT